GTCAAACAGATCTTTCACTTGCTTGGTTAGAGTTACAGAAAGATATATTATTTGTGGCTACTGTGAAGGAAGTTGTTTCCCTAATTTATTTCTCAGCCCGTTTGACATTTGTATAGAAGAAGCCTACTGATTTGTTAATTTTATTTTCAACTACTTGCTGAAGTTATTTATCAGCTGTAGGAGTTCTCTGGTAGAATTTATGGGTTGCTTATGGTTGCTATCATATCATCTGCAAATACCTTGACTTCTTTCCAGTTCTCTTTCTTTGTTGGGTCTTTGTGTGGTTTAGGTATCGGAGTAACTATGGCTTCATAGAGCGAATTAAGTAGTGTTCCTTCTGTTTCTATTTTGTGGAACAGTTTGAGGAGTATTGTATTAGCTCTTCTTTAAAGGTCTGGGAGAATTTTGCACTAAAACCATATGGCCTTGGCCTTTTTGTTTTGTTTATGAGGTTTTTAATGACTGCTTCTATTTCCTTAGGGGTTATGAGACTGTTTAGATAGTTTATCTGCTTTTGATTTAACTTTGGTACCTGGTATCTGTCTAGAAAATCATCCATTTCATCTGGATTTTCCAGTTCTGTCAAGTATAGGCTTTTGTAGTAGCATCTGATGATTTTTTGAATTTCCTCAGTTTCTGTTGTTTCTATCTCCCTTTTCAGTTCTTATTTTGTTAATGTGGATACTGTGTCTGTGTCCTTTAGTTTGGCTAAAGGTTTTTCTAGCTTGTTGATTTTCTCAAGGAATCAGCTCTTTAAAAAAAAAAAAACAAAAAAACGAGTTAGCTGTCTTTATAAGCCTCACCTAGGCACAGGTAGGCGTGCCAAGGTCAACATCTGCCCTGGTTAGTTGAAATGGTTGTAAGAGACCGGGTAATCGAGGGCCAGGAGTCCTTTGCTTTGGTAGACCTCTTCCTCACCTTTGCCCTTCTGCAACTGTCAGAAACCAAGTTTGAATTTTCCTTGTGGTCAGCACCAGTGCCCAAGTTCAAGCCTTAGCGGCTGAGTGGGGGCGGGCCTAGCTCTTTGTTTTGTTGATTCTTTTTCTCTCTATAATTGGTTGATTTCAGTCCTGAGTTTGACTATTTCCACTTCTGGGGTAATCACTATCTCTGACCTCAAGCTATACTGTAGAGCACTAGTGATATAAACTGCATGGTATTGGTACAGAGACAGAAAGGTCGATCAGTGGAATAGAACTGAAGACCAAGAAGTAAACCAGCACACCTATGGACACTTGATCTTTGACAAAGAAGCCAAAACCATACAGTAGAAAAAGGAAAGCACCTTCAATAAATGGTTCTGGTCTAACCTGCAGTCTGCATGTAGAAGAATGGAAATTGATCCACATTTATCACCTTCAAGTCCAAGTGGACCAAGACTTCCACATAAAACCAGATTCACTGAATCTAATAGAAGAAAATGGGAAATAGCCTTGAATGCACTGGCACGGGGGAAAATTTCCTGAAGAGAACATCAATGGCTCAGGCTTTAACCAACAATTGACAAATAGGACCTCATGAAACTGAAAAGCTTCTGTAAGGGAAAGGATACTGTCAATAGTACAAAACAGAAACCTACATATTGGGAAAAGATCTTCACTAACCCTACTTCTGATAGAGGTCTAATATCCAAAATATATAAAGAACTCAAGAAGTTAGACTCCAAAAAAACCAAATAACCCAGTTAACAAATGGGGTACAGAGCTAAACAGAATTCTCAACAGAAGAATCTCAAATGGCTGAGAAGCACTTAAATGTTCAACATCCTTAGTCATCAGGGAAATGCAAACCAAAACGACCCTGAGATTCCACCTCACACCAACCAGAATGGCTAAGATCAAAAACTCAAACAGCAGATGCTGCTGAGGATGTGGAGACAGGAACACTCTTCCATTGCTAGTGGTACTGCAAGCTGGTACAACCACTCTGGAAATCAGTCTGGGCTTCCTCAGAAAATTGGAAATAGTTCTACCTGAAGACTTAGCTATATCACTTCTGGGCATATACCCACAAGATGCTCCACCATATCACAAGGACAGGTGCTCTACTATGTTCATAGCAGCCTTATTTGTAATAGCCAGAAACTGGAAATGACTTAGATGTCCCTCAACTGAAGAATGGATACGTAAAATGTGGTTCATTTACACAATGGAATACAATTCAGCTATTAAAAATGAGGACATCATGAATTTTGCAGGCAAATGGATGGAACTAGAAAATATCCTGATTGAGGTAACCTAAGACTCAAAAGAACATGCATAGTATGTACTCACTGATAAGTAGATATTAGCCAAAAAAGTACAGAATACCCATGATACGACTCACAGACCACATGAAGTTTAATAAGACGGAAGGCCCAAGTGTGTATGCTTCAATCCCAATTAGAAGGGGGAACAAAATAATCATGGGAGGCAGAGGGAGAGACGGAAGTAGGTAGGAGATGAAAGGCATGGGAAAGTAGGAGCAGGATCAAGTATGGGAGGAGACAGGAGAGAAGCCCAGAGGGCCAGAAGAATGAATGGAAGTATGCAGCAGTGTAGGGTAGGGGTTGGGGCAGGATGAACCTCTAGAAAGTCCCAGAGATCTGGGATGTGAGAGGCGCCCAAGACTCAATGGGGATGACTTAAGTCAAATGTCTAACAGGGAGGATGGAACCTGAAGAGACTATCTCCTGTGGACAGACATGGCTCACAGTTGGGGGATGGGGCTGCCCACCCATCTTCAAAATTTTTGACACAGATGTTCCTGTCTAAAGGAGATGCAGGGACAAAAATAGACAAGAGACTGAAGGAGAGGCCACTCAATGACTGGCCCAACTTGGGATCCATCCCATGAGCAGGCACCAAGCCCTGACACTATTACTGATTCCATGTTGTGCTTGCAGACAGGGGCCTAGCATGGCTGTCCTCTGAGAGACGACACTACCAGCAGCTGACTCAGACAGAGGCAGATACAGCCAACCATTGGACTGAGGTTCTGGAGCCCTCTGGAAGAGTTAGGGGAAGGATTGAAGGAGCTGAAGGGGATTGCAACCCCATAGGAAGACCAACAGTGTCAACTAATCCTGACCCCTGGGAGCTCCCAGAGACTAAGCCACCAACTAAAGAGCATGCATTGGGCTGGTCCATGGCCCCTGGCACATATGTAGCAGAGCACTGTCTTGTCTGGCTTCAGTGGGAGAGGATGCACTTAATCCTGTAGAAACTTGATGCCACAGGGAAGAGGGATGCTGGTAGGGGTGAGATCGGGGTGGGTGGGTGAGTGGGGGAACACCTCTCAGAAGCAAAGGGGAGAGGGGATAGGGTGAAGAACTTGGGGAGGGGGGACCAGAAAGGGGGGCAACATTTGGAATATAAATAAACAATTTTTTAAAAAGTAGAAAACAAGAAACAAAACTCCCCTACAGAAGAGGTCAATCAGTCCTTTAATCATTGCTGCATTCCAGTCAAGTGACAAGCCACAACTGTCATCAGTTATTATTAGTGTCTTCTGGACACACTTGGCTTCTGACCCTGCCTACTCAGGCCATTTTTATTAAAAAAGAACTTCACATATGAAACCTTGGGTTTTGGCTAAATAAAGAAAAGTCTCCAGATTAAAAAGGGTCCTGAAGACACCGTGGTCTAGGTATAGTAATATATCCTCCTCATCCCAGGGCTGGAGTGGCTCAGGGTGGAGGACAACAAGGTCACGGTCAGTCAGTCCCAGTCCCTAGACAGTGGGGCTGGGGAGGGGAAGGGGAGGCACCTTAAGGAAAGGTAGCACAAGGTACAAGCTCTTGGAGGACTTTCACATCACCTACTGGACTGGATAGTTCCTGTTTATCCTTCCTTTCTCTGTGTGCTCCAGGAGGCTGGCCTGATGGACTAATCAGGGAGCTCCCTGGTCTTCTGGAAGTCAAGAGCTGCCATCACCAGTTGCTGAGAATATGAAGAGAGTGGCATGTGTGTTTCTAGTAGCTTGTTCACAGGTGAGTTTCCTAGTTTGGCAAATTCTAAGTCCTGTTAGGAGCCCTTTCACAAAGCTACTTTTTTTTTGTCTCTGGTGTTTGATGTCCTTTCCCTTTAGGCCAAGACATGGAAACCGTTGCTCAGTTTGAGGGTCTGTATCCATCATTGCTTGGCTTCAGTAACATCATTTTATCTCTTCATAGTCTCTTGACAACCACCTAGTTTGGATACACTTTTCTATTTGCTGTGTTCTAAGAATTCATTCTATATATTAAATGACATGTATCCTGGATGATTCCACAAACACTATAATTTATAACAGTGAAATGTTAAAATTATAATATCAATTAGAAGAATATGAAGTAGTAACACAACCGTACAATATTACAATATGCACGTATAGTAGACTACTACAAAGCTATAAAAAAATATGAGTCATTATAGGTTAAGAAAATGGCACTTCCCCTGCAATATGAAGACCTGAATTTAGAGCTCTATAATTCTCATACATTAGAAGTAGTATAGCATGTCTGTATTCCCAACAAAGACTAAGAAGAATATTAGAAAGAATTTCTAAGGAAGTCATAGAAAGTAATGGAAAAACCAATACAGTTACTCAAATGTCCCAAGTAGTAAAATTTTTGGACAGTTTTCTTTCTTAGCATGATCCATACATGCAATTTCCCTTTGACTCCTCCTGATAAAAGTTCATTTAACATGTGATCCATTTATTATTTAGGGGAGGTTCAAATCTGTAGCTGGGGTGACTGACTATTATAGAGTTGTTATCAGTGATCTTGGAGTCTATGAAAGGTGTGACTTATTAAAGGCAATGGGACATGAGAATGTCAGGACATCAGTGAGGATTGTAAGAGAAAACTACTGGAATATGCTCATCCAAGTTAAGAATGCTAAGCTGGACACATTGCTTTTATGTGATTTAAAAGTAGAAAAAATAGAGAAGGATTTTTTTTTTTTAATGGCAGTTTTAGTATTTCTGACATGGGCAGGCCTGCTAGAGCCCTGTGAGAATCAAAGATATGCACTCACCCTTCCTGGAGCTGAACCTGGGCAGATTCCTCAGTCACGAGAGCCTCATACTCCTCAGCAGCAAATCTGTCCCAGTCAGAGGGCTCAGGGCCATCATTTTCAACATCCTGATTAAAAGGAGGAATTAGAATAAAGGCAGAAATTGGAAGTAGGTATATTTATGGTATAAATATCATAAGTGTATATTGCTGAAAACCTATCTGAAAAGTATTCCAATGCAGTAAAAGAAGGGTCAAGGCAGCATTCCCACGGTAATCTGCCTCTGAAATTACAAAAGTATGTGTGCTAAGCAGTTTCCATGTTTTTGGTTATGATTCTCTCAAAAAAAAAGATTAATTTGTGAATCATGTATATTTTTAGCATTTGTAGAAGTCAGAAGGGGGCACTGGAATTAGACAGTTAAGAGCAGCAAGTATTCTTCATCTCTGAGCTCTCTCTCCAGCTCCATGATTATTAAAAAGAAGTTTGTGTTTTGTGTGTGTGCTACATGATCTGGGTGGGTATGTGTGCCTGCATGTGTGGAGATCAGAGGACAACTATACGAAGTCTGTGCTCTTTCCATTCAGGGTTTATTGATGGTCTAACAGATGTTTGCTGATGATAAAGAAGCTTGTCTCTATTCTTATGCAGAACAACGTTTAAAATTGATAGCCATACACAGGAATAATTAATACTTGAAGTGTTACATTATCCGAAGTTGTCTGTTATAGAGTTTTGTTATTACTTAGAAGGGTAAATCTATTTACCACGCTCTCTTGGAAGTGCATAGCACAATTAAACCAAGGTCAGTGTAGCATACATATATATGTATGTATATATATATATATATTTTTTTTTTTTTTTTTTTTTGGTTTTTCGAGACAGGGTTTCTCTGTGTAGCCCTGGCTGTCCTGGAACTCACTCTGTACACCAGGCTGGCCTCGAACTCAGAAATCTACCTGCCTCTGCCTCCCAAGTGCTGGGATTAAAGGCGTGTGCTACCACCGCCCAGCTGATATATTTTTTTCAAAACTACTTTTTTGAAACTAATTTCTAAGGGTATGCAACTACCTACAGCAATCAATATAGCCTACTAGATAGCAAGGACTTAGAGATGGAGATTACCTAAGCTGCAAGATTGCCTGTGGGATGAGATGTATTCTTATTATTTATTAATTTATTTGGAGGCAGGGTCTTTCTACATAGCTCTGGCTATCCTGGAACTTGCTAGGTAGATCAGGCTAGGCTTGAACTCAGATAATCCCTTTTCCTCTCCCTTCCTTTCTGCTTCAGACTTTATTGTCCCTTTTCATGTTTGATCAAGTATTTTAGTATTTAGTATCGCTTTAAATACAGAGAGCCCCATCTGCACAGACCATTTAATATGCAGCATATGGGCTTTGGTACTCCAGCTCTGAGAGTTCCGTTTCAGTGGATGCTGTTACCTTCTGGACTGCAAAAGGATCTCTTTGTTCATGGTCCAAGTATTTCTCTAGGTTAAAGAAAGTGTCATAGAAGATGTGAGCCATTCTGCACCTCTTCAGATCTCGCAGAGTTATTCTGCCTATGGAAAGACAAATACACCCTGTAAACTTCACTGGCAGCTGTTTTGAGAAAAGAAAAAAACTCACTGATGTTGAAAAGTATGTGTATATGCTTATTTTATTATAAGTCACATTTTTAAAAAGGTGAGTAATATTCAACTTGTACATGTCAGTGGCTTTAAAATACACTCATGATGTATAACCATCAACACTGTAACATTATCCAACCCCCCCGACCCCCAGCAAAGAATTGTAGTTTCTTCAAGAAGTCCTCCCCACCTCCCCACACCTGAGCCACTAATGTATTTCTTTTATTTATGTTAAGTTCTATTTCTTAAATAGTGGAATTGACATTCATAGTCAAAAGAGAGAGAAACTAAATTCTTCTGTAGTTGGGAAGCCTGTAAAGGCAACTATGGAATGCTAAATACATCAGGACACTACAGAAATCTGTGTTCATTCTGTTTGAGGAAGAACAGTGTAAACTGCTGTTCCGTTGGCCTTACCATCACTAGCTGGCTTCACCAAATCAAGCATCTGGCACAATAGATCATGGAACGGCAAGGGCTCAATGCCCATGGCTTCCATTCGTTCACACTGCTCTTCATAGAAGTACTCTAGTTCATACATGGAAAGTATTCCATCTCCATCCACATCCATGCAGCGGAACCAGTACTCAATGCTAGGAGGCAAAACATGCATGTTAGCATTGACCTGGTAGAGGTTCTTTTAAAGCAAATTTTTGTGTCTTCTAGATTATGCCTAGTTTATAAAGGCTTATTAGAAAAAACAATGGAGGGCTGGAGAGATGGCTCATGCATTAAAAGATAGGTTCACAACCAAAAATATAATAATAATAATAATAATAATAAAATCAATGGGCGGTCCCTTCTGCCCTCTTTTTTTTAAATTCCAGAATCAGTCACTTCCAAAAGCTAATTATTTTGCTTTTTATCTTGTATTTTCAGAGCAAATGACCATATTTATCTCCATTTTTCTGTTTCAAGAATTGTGTACTGATTCTACTAACAGATGATATTTTGGCCTTATTCCTTCCATTTACTTAATAGAGTGAAACTGCTCATTATTCAGAGTCAGGAGCAGTGTGCTCCTTTGAGCTCTCATTGCTTTGTTTCCCATGTCCTTGCTACTACGTCACTCCTTACATTGCCACTAGTTGTTTAGATCCACATTCAATTACAGCAGGTATTTTAACAATTAAATTCTCTTGAAATATCCTTTGATTCCTTCTGACTTCATTTCCTATGGTCTGTTTTGTCTCTATGCCTGATTCACAATTTCATCTTGACGTTCCTTTCACTATTGTCTCTTTGGAGCTCATATTTCTCCCATCCTTTGACATGGCACCTTATCTAGTAGTATCTTTAAAAAAAAAAGTTAAAGGAGGTAAGTCAGTCTGTCTGTGACTGTGTGCGTGCATGCATGTGGAGGGGAAAGGTCAACACTGACTGGTCCTTTCCTCAACTGCTTCTCCACAGACAGAGCCTTTCATTAGCCAAATAGCCTATGTTAGTTAACTGGAGAGCCCCAGGGATCCACCTGTCTTGTCTCCCTAGTACTGGGATTGCAAGTGTGTGCCATCATTGACTTTTTGTTTTTTAAACATGAATTCTAAGGATCAAACTGAACTATTCATAATATTTTGATTTTGCATTTCATTTTTCCTTTTTAAAATTTTAACTTACTTAAAATACATTCATACTGTGTCATCTAAGATGGCCTCCAACTCTTGTTCAAGTGATTCTCCAGCTCTAGCTACTGAGGAGCTGGATTGCAGGTACTGGAAATCTCTCCTGGCTCAGATCTCAGATCCGTAAAGGTTCCCAACTTCTAATTTGGTAGCATGGCTAATTCTAGAATTAAAGCTCAGTAGTGCTTTTCCTTTAGATTTTTTATGCTTATTTTATTTTGAGGGGGCCTCACATTGTAGCTTCTATATGTGATCTACTAGGCTTTTAACTTTTACATATGATATGAGTCCACTGGGTATACAAACTAATGCCCATGAGTAACACAAATTAACTCAATGGCAGTTTTGGACTTTATTTGTCTCATAATACTTTGTCAGAGCTCCAACCTCTTACAGGTCCCTTGTGTATATCTTATGGCTTCTGGATTTGTGTTTTTATGGGGATTGTCTGTGTGCAAATGTGTGTGTGCCTGAGTCTGTATGTGGTTTTTGAGGCTTTTTCTTAGGCTCTTCTGTTTTTGTTTGTTTTGTACTATCCCAATTAGTTTGTTTTTATCTTATTATTTTTAGATGCTTGTTTGTGTGGATTTAGATGGGAGGGGAGGGGAGGAGAGTGGAGGTGACGAGAATCTGAGAGGAGTTGGGGGAGGGAACCATAATCAGAAGGCGTTGAATGAAAAAATTATTTTCAATCAAAGAAAAAAAAAGGCAGCTCAGCTAGAAGAACATATCCCACAAACAGACAACAGCGTTTGGAATAGCCCCTGTTCCAGTTGTTCAGGAATCAGTGCCCCATATCCATGGGAAACTGGCAAAGCCTTCCCTCTATGGGTCAGGACTGGAGTTGGCAAAGCCTTCCTGTGGTCTAAGTGTGAATGTTGATAATGTTTGCAAGTATGAGTGTTTAGGAATGATCGGCCAGTGTGTGTAAAGACTAGAATTGCAGTGCCCTGCTTTTGGATGTTTACAGTCTGAGACTGCTTGCCTTTAGGCTCTTCATACTAAAACTAGCCAACCCTGACACCCCTTTCCCTAACCTAGTAAGAGTACTGAAATTCCCCACTGTTTTGTGATAGTTGGTGTTGCTCAATCAGGGAATGCATGGCTCGTCTGACCCCAGTCATTTCTCAGTCTACTGACTCCATTTATATGATGTATGACTTTTATTGATTTACATACACTGAACCACCCCACATCTCTATAGTGAAGTCAGACTCAATCATGGTGTGTACCTGGACTTTGCCTACTTTGTAGGTTCTTTTTTCCACCCTTCTCTACCCTTTTTCTTCTACCCTTTCAATCCCCTAGCACTAGATAGGAGAGAAAAATGGAGAGAGGAAAAAGGGGTCAGCGTTATCATTAGACTCCTTCCTGTTGATTAGGGGTGTTGAGTTCCTTGAGGCAAGTTTGATCTTTGCTGTCAGGATATCAAATTTCTTCTTCCTTGCAAATGACTACTTAACAAACCACAACTAACAGCAGCCAGCAACCAACTATCAACCCACACTGCCTCTTGGAGCCCTAGCATTTTTATACCCTCTGAAAAGTCTCCAGAATTTAAAAAATTACACAATCACAGAAACTATCTGCAGCTGGCAAAATCACATCCCTGCTAGAGCGCTAGACAAATCAGTTAGTTGCTTTAGACAGTCTGAAGCAGTTCCATATCCCCATACCTGGAATTAAAATGAAAACATATTCTTACAATACTTCTGTGTTTTTTTAAAGAAATCAAAATTATCAGGACAATAGTGAATGATACTTTTCATGTATTCTTGAATTTGGTTTGTAGATTATTTCTTTGTTCTTCTCTCATATAATATATCTGGACCACTGTCTCCCTCCACCCCCTGACCTCACCTCTCCCCCAGATCCAGTACTCTTCCCTTCCATTCAGAAAAGAGCAGGTTTCCTGGCAATATCTATCTGTGTTCATCAATGAAGCTGTTCAAAATCATTTTTTAATTTTTTTTGAGACAGGGTCTTACTATGTAGCCCGAGCTGGCCTGGAACTCTCTGTATAGACCAGGCTGGCTGAGAACTAACAGATCTACCTGCCTGTGGAGTGCTAGGATTAAAGACGTGTGCCACAACAGATTAAAATTTTCTTTATGTGTGTGTTTTTATTTGACTTTGGTACCAGCATAATACTGACTTTACAAGAAGAGTTTTAAGTATTCTTTCTTTTTCTATTTTTATGGAATAATTTCAGAACGATTGGTATTAGTTCTTTAAAGGCGTGTTAGAATTTTTTTCAGTGAATCCACCTGGACCTGATATATACATACACACACACACACACACACACACACACACACACATATATATATATAAAATTTTCAAGTATATATTTTCAAAAACTAAGTGTTTAATTGTGTGTGTTTGTATTGGGAATATCTACATGTAAGTGCAGGAGTCCATGGAAGTTAGAAACATTGGATCCTCTGGAGCTGTAAGTACAGGTAATTGTGAGCTGCCTGACACATGGGTGCTAGGAATTGAACTCAGGTCTTCTGCAAGAACAGTATGTGTTCTTAACTTGTGAGCCATCTCTAGCTCCAGTATCTGGGCTACTTTTTGTTGGTTGTTGTATTATCATTTTTTAATTGAGTCAATCTTGCTTATCATAGATATTGATATTATAACATCTGGTTTAAATAGGTAGTTTATATATACACAACTGTACACTTACATTGTTTATCATAGATATTCATATTATAACATCTTGGTTTAAATAGGTAGTTTATATATACACATCTGTACACTTACATTGTTTATCATAGATATTCATATTATAACATCTGGTTTAAATAGGTAGTTTATATATATACATCTGTACACTTACACTTACATACTTCTTTTACATTTTCCTACTTAGTGGGGTAAAAAAAATCTTATTTTTAAAAAGTATCCCTTTAAAATTTTCTGAACCAATAGTATCTGTTATAATGTGTCCCTTTTCATCTATAATATTGTTCTGGTTTTCCCTCTTTCTGTTTGTTAGGGTTTCTTCAATCAATATTGCTTCTCTTTCCAAAGAACTAATTCTTTGTTTCATCCATTTTTTTTGTATGTTTTCATGTCTTTGTCATTATTCCTGCCCTAATCTTGATGGTTTATGTTTTATCTACTGCTTTTGAGTTTGGTTTGTTCTTGCTTTTCAAAGGTCTTAAATTTCTTTTTAATTTTAGGCACTTGGTCCATTCTATGACTAGCCTTTGCATCTCATGGGTTTGGTATGTTGTACTCTCATTTTCATCCAATTCTAGGACATTTTTTAGTTTCATTCTTTAGTTTTTCAGTGATTCTCTTATCATCCCATAGGGTACTGTTTAATATTAAGAATTTTTTGGTTCTGTCTCTCTCTCTCTCTGTGTCTCTGTCTCTGTCTCTGTCTCTGTCTCTCTCTCTCTCTCTCTCTCTCTCTCTCTCTCTCTCTCTCTCTCT